CAGGAATGCTTTATATCACTCTAAATCCAGCTACAATCATTCACTTAGATTTATCCTACTCCAGGCTTTTTCTATAGGTACCACACACCACTGTGGGTAGACATGTGAGCCTATATGAAAAGCGATGCAAACTTCATGGCAGATGTTCTGAATATAGAAAAAATAACCCTTAGTCTTTTTGTGGCCTTTGTGTAACATGCTCCTTACAATTCTCACCAAAGGTTTCCTAAAAAGACAGATTCATTAGAAGACACTGCTGAACTAAAGAAAAATATATAAGTTCAAGGAAGAAAGATTAAGCCCAAGGAAGAAAGATTAAATACCTGAAAATGCAAGGATATTTCATTCTTACTGATGCTATCAAAGGGTTTATCTATATGATGGCTGGAACCCCAGATCCCAGCATTCTGATGACCTGATTTTGAAAGGTGCTCAGCACACAAAGCTCCCATACTTCCTAGCTGGAGCTGCAGATGCTTGATACTGCAGGGAACTGAGTTGAATTCAATGACAGAGTTCCCATTGACATCAAAAGCGCAGGATCAGCTACCAATGAACATTAATTGAAATTAATCAAAATAAAACACACTTTACCCACCACCACCCTCCCCCCGCCCCGGTTTTACAATTTATATAACTGTACATAGCCTGGAAAAATCCCAAACAGCTTATAAATTAAAGTAGAACATTTACTGTCATAATAATTACAGGCCACTTACCATATAAGTTCACCTGGCAGTACAGCAATAATATTCAAATGAAACCATGGGTATACTTTAGCAAATGCCCTTTTATTTACCATTTTATGTCTGACTATTTACATAGTAAGGCTTTTCTTTTATATCTCTGATATAGTAGAAGCAACAAGAAGATGCAGTAATTCAATTATTTGCTGCTTTGTTTTAAAGATACAATGCACACTTTCTAGTTTATCCTACCTTGTCTTATTTTCTGTCTTCAAATCTTGCTTTAGAGATGCCAGCTTTTCTGCATAGCTCTTCCTTGTATTTCTGGGGGAAAAAAAGCTAAGCACTTACACTGGTTGGAAAGAGGCAACATGGTACCTGTGGGTCACATATCAAAAACTTACGCATATTATAGTGTTCAACCATAGCTGTGAATTACACATTGTTGTTCTCTCAAGTTGAGAACATTAGTTTAAAATTAAGAGGCTCTTGTTAGTGACCAAGGCAAACCAGAAAAAATAAACAAATGCAAAACACAAGAACAGATGTTTCAGAAATGAACAATTACTCTAATGTATTAGTAGCAAGTACTATGAAAGAGCATTTTCAGAAGTAGAACTTCTGGCCAGATGGACAAATCAATTTATTTGAATTTCTTAGTATATAATTTCTAGTATATTACATGTGGTAAATACTAAGATGCACGAACTTTATATGTATTCAACACATGCTAGGAGAGTTTAATACAATAAAATGGTTGGTAGCGTGCAACCAGTGATTCTTCAAGACATAAAGGTGTGAGAAGCACCCACTTCAAACCCTAAGAGGATTTACAAAGAGATAGTATGGGGCTTTCTCCAAAGGTTTTATTGTTCCAAATGCAAAGCTGAATGTATGAAGCCAGCACTGCAAGATACTTTAATAGCAGCAGAATGTGTCCCAAATCATTCTTAGATACCCCTGAAAAGTCTTATTACTTCTATTCCATACTTTCCAAAACTACATTGACTGTTGTTCAGTGGATTTCTCAGTTCAGTGGGTTTAATCACTTGAAGATTTCCCTCTTTGAATGAAATCCGATAGACTTCATTTGAAATTGCTCATTAAAATAAATAATCAGTCAATCTTGTAAGGTGAATGGGGAGATTCTGAATACATTGCACATTACTTTTAGAGAAAATAAAAATTTAAAGAGATCTTATTTTGGATTTCCAATTTGGTGGCCCTGTTAAAGTGACTGGGAGTCTGTGTGATGTACACTGAAATTATTTTCAGTTTGATGTACAGGGATGTTGTGAAGCTAGTGAAAATTCACAGAACAAGATAATTATGTACAAACATAAAATAAAAACCTCAGAAAGTATGGGGACAGGGACTGGGGAAAGGGGATTTTTCAATCAGGTGTTCTAAGAGGTCAGAGCTGTGATGCATTTTGCACAGTTCCACGTAGTCTAGTTTAAAAGTCCGAAATTAAGAGCTGATTGACTCTGGGAAAAAGCTCATACAACCTTTTCCTTTGCTATCATTAGTGTAGATATCCAATTAGCATCAAGATATCATGCAATGATTATTTCACCTCATTATCTTGTTAACTTAGTTTTCAACTGTAAACTCCACTGCACTTCATTACAAGTTTTCCGCCTCTTTAGTGGTGCGTGGCTACCTCCTCTACCTCCTTTTTAGCAGTGTGGCTACCTCATGGTCTTATTTTTTGCATCCCACATTTACATGGCAAAAATATCTCCTTTGTCAGGAAAGACACAGACACTGATCCTATCAAGATAGGAACGTACTACTTTTCCTACAAAGCAGAATAAATCTATTGTATATTTTCTTATTCAATATGAAAAGGGAAGGGAGCAATTATTTTCTTACTTTTTAGTTATAATTATATCCATAAGTAGGGCAATTCCATATTAACAAAACATTCCCGAGAAGGATTTAGATAACAGGAAGACCCTAGGAACACAGCCCCTTCAGTGCCACACTGTGAAAATACTGTGCAGAACCAGGACAATTGGTGTCACTCAAAACACAGCATGTGTGCAAATATTTGCCTCTGCTAGGTTTGGGGGACATAAGATTAACTGGTTGAACCTTTTTACTTTCTCTTGCAAAGGACAATGCTCCAGCAGAGACAAAAACCATAGTGGTCTCTTTTGTCAGGATTACCCTTCTTACATGACAGAATTTGATTATTAGTGTACAACATAAAGCCTTGATCTCCTGATTCTCTAGCAAATAGCTGAACTGGGTCCAATGCAGTTTATCTGGGATCAGTACACACTGGCCTGTTCTCACCTATGGCAGCAAAATCCCAAATCTCTTCCAGAAACTACACGCTAACGGAGAGCTGCAGTGCTTCCGCCACACTCCTCCCAGCCATACCTCACTACATAGGGCACAGGACATCTGTTCTGCTTAGACTACCAAGCCAAAGATTTATTTTTCAGAGCACTTCCATGCACAGGGCAAATCTGTGCTTACTTAGGTTTATCTGAGTAAAAGCAGATTTTCTCAGATACCACCATAAAAGGGTAGAAGCTTGGCCCAAGACCTGGTACCACAGTATGGAGTTCACAGTCACAACGGTGAAGTTCTACATTCTGCACTGCTTCAATATCCTTCATTATTTGTATGTTCATTGCTTGGTGATAAGAAACTGCAGATTAAATTAGGGTAACTGGCAGGTAACCTCTTTGTTGTATGAAGCTTCTTATCAGCCTGCTACTAGTATAGTTCATAAACCCATTTAAGTTCCCTATTGAATGTTACATTTCAGAATCTCTTAAACCAGCTGAATTCCTGAGTAAACAATACTGAGACCATTTACTATTGTCAATACTGAAAGATGACATACAGTAGGCTGTCTTCAAGATTTTCAATTTCCTTCTCTAGGTTTTTCTTTTCCATCCCATAATTTGCCAGAATTGCAAGCTTTTCATCCAACAGAACAGATAAATTCTCCAATCTACCAGAAAAAGAAAGAAAGAAGTTACTTCGTCAGAAACATGATCTCACTACGTAGCAAGAAAAGTCTGTCATAAAAATCACAAAATGAAAAAAATCTGTATTCAAAAGCTGACAGGTGAAACCTACTTTACCACCATCTCAGCCTTTTTTATAGCCCAGTGTTGTTGTTCTTCCAGTACTTGTTCATACTTCTGGCACACAGCTTTATTTTCTAATTTAAGTTTTTTATTCAGGCATTTAGCATTGTGTAGATCTTCCTTAGTCTAGAAATAACACAGATGTTAGCTTAATATTAATTCTCTGTTTTACCTTACAATAACATTCTATACTGCTATAGTGCCTTTAATAAAAATTAAACTTTACAGTGAGTCAAGATTCACAGCATGTACGTAATTAACATATGCATATCTGAACATATATGGATACCTGAACATATATGGGTAAGGCTGAACAGGAAACCCCTTGTGGAGCTCAAGAGGAAAAAGAAATTGCATGATCTCTGGAAGCAAGGTCAGGCTTTGAAGGAAGAGTGCAGAGCTCTGGTTCATTTATGCAGGGAGAAGACATGAAAGGCTAAACCTCAATTAGAGTTGAAACTGGCTAGTATTGTTTCAGATAACAAGAAGGGCTTTTTTAAAATACATTAATAGCAAGAGAAGGTCTAAAGAAAACATTGGACCAATACTTGTTGAAGATGGTCATCTGACTAATACAGATGAACAAAAAGCAGAGGCATTCACCGCATTTTTTGCCTTAGTCTTTAATAATACTGATAGACCTTGGGCTGCTTGGTCCCCTGAGTCAGAGGACCACGAGTGTGGGAACAGTGAGTTTCCATTTGCGAACTCTGAAATTGTAAGGGACCACCTCTGTCAGCTGAACGTTCACAAGTCCATGGGGCCTGATGGGATGAATCCCAGAGTAGTGAAGAAGCTAGCAGATATTATGGCAGGACCCCTCTCAATCATCTACCAAAGGTCTTGGGAGTCTAGGGAGGTCCCTGCTGACTGGCAGCTAGCTACTGTAATTCCAATCTACAGAAAGGGCATAGGGAAGACCCAGGGAACTACAGATCTGTTAGTCTAACCTCAGTTCCTGGAAAAATTATGGAGAAGATCTTACTGGGTACTATTGAAAGGCATTTAATGAATAATGCAATCATCAGGCACAGTCAACATGGGTTCACAAAAGGAAAGTCCTGTTTAATTAATATGATATCCTTCTATGATAAAGTCACCTGCCCAGTGGATGAAGGGAGAGTGGTGAATGTAGTTTTTCTGGATTTTAGTAAGACTTTTCATATTGTCCCTCAGAGCCTCCTTTTGGACAAGTTGTCCAACCATGGGATGAGTGGGTTCATTGTGCACTGGGTGAAGAACTGGCTGAAGGGCAGAGCTCAAAGCACTGTAGTGAATGGGACTACATCTGGCTGGCAACTGGTCACCAGTGGGGTTCCTCAGGGTTCCATTCTAGGGCCAGTTCTGTTCAGTATATTTATCAACGATCTCAATGCAGGAGTTGAATGCACCATTAGCAAGTTTGCTGATGATACCCCTCATCTTGAGAGACAGGAGGCCTTGCAGAGGGGTCTAGATAGATTGGAGTATTGGACTATGATTAATGGGATGAAATTGAACAAGTCCAAATGCCAGATTCTGCACCTGGGATGGAGTAATGCCAGGCACAAGTATGAATTGGGAGAGGAGTGGCTGGAGAGCAGCCCTGCAGAAAGGGATCACGGGTGCTGGTCGGCAGCAGCTCAGTATGAGTTAGCAGTGTGCCCTGGCAGCCAAGAGGACAAACCCCATCCTGGAGTGCATCAAACACAGCAAAACCAGTCAGTCAAAAGAGGTGATTATCCCACTGTATTCAGCGTTGGTGCAGTCTCACCTTGAATACTGTTTTCAGTTCTGAGCCCCACAATTTAAGAAGGATGTGAAGGTCCTTGAATGTGTCCAGAGGATGGCAACAAAGCTGGTGAAGGAGCTGGAAGGAATATCCTATAAGGAGCGGCTAAGGACTTTTGGCTTGTCTAGTTTGGAAAAAAGGAGGCAGTAGACAGGGTGGTGCTGATCTCTTCTCCCTGATAACCAGTGATAGAACATGTGGGAATGGTTCAAAGCTGCATCAGGGGAGGTTTAGACTGGACATTAGGAAGCATTTCTGTACTGAGAGGGTGGTCAAACACTGGAACAGGCTTCCTAGAGAGGTGGTCAATGCTCCAAGCCTGTTAGTGTTTAAGAGGCATTTGGACAATGGCCTTAACAACATGCTTCAACTTTTGGTCAGCCCTGAATTGGTCAGGCAGTTGGACTAAATGATCTTGTAGGTCCCTTCCAACTGAAATTATTCTGTTCTGATCACATCAAGATCATGTTTCTGTATCTTCATTTCCATGGCCTCATTTGAACCAATCGCTCTGAAACAGCCTGCAAGCTGTGTGCTGCTCCCAGACACATGGTACCTTGCTCCAGCTGGAGGTAATGACTTCCACTGCGTGGACTACAAAGAGTGATAAAGTGGGAATGGGGAAGGCTTGACAATGAAGGAACACTGGCACGGTGGGCACGCAATATCAAGATGAAAGGAAGCAGGAGTCATGAGTCCTGGCTGAAGGAGGCAAGGGCAGGAAGATGGAAGAGAAAAACAAAGTAGTAAGATGATGATTGGGGTCCTGGCTTTTGATGGTAGGAATGCAGTAGAAGAGCAGGTGGGGTGGCCATGGAATGGGGAGAATCTGGCTCCCACCTAGCGTAGCCTAATGTCAGTATGGCGGAGTTTTTAATGGACCAACACCTTGTTTGATATGTACATCTCTGCAGGGCAGGTTATGAACTAGGAAACCACCTCGATAGATGTGTGTAGTCTACATAACAACAATAATCTCAGTTGGCATTCCTTCACAGGTTCTGCAGATGGAGTGCCACCTTCCCTACATGCAATAAAAGTTAATAATAATGTAAAAAACCCTGGAGCAAGTCAACAGGAATGACTATGAAAAATGCATACTCAGCTTTCCAGACCAGGATCCCAACCACGTCTTTGTTCACAAATCTCCCACATACATCTTGTCTGCCCCAATCTCTTATTGCATATATACTCCCTCCCAAATCAACATCTTAGCCTCTTTTCTCTCTATTCCCCTACATCCCAGCACACAAGACCACACACTGAATCTCACCCCACCTCTCAGTGCCCCTTAAGTCTTTCAACATCAGCCCATCAGCTGAAAAGCAGATCTTGCCCCTATACCTCCAGCATGACCTCCAAAGCCCAAGTAGAGTAGAAGGCAAAGGCCACATTTCCTGCAAATGTTTGTGCCCCTTTTCCCTGCTCACACTCATCAAGCACAGAGGCATACACAATTCAAAGGACCTAAAGCACCTCACATGTCACACTTTGTGACAAGGTGTAGTAAAAACTCTTGAGTCAGAACAAAAATGTCTCTCTTACCTTTTCAAGCTCCTTATTGAAATCCTCCTTTTCTTGGGCAATTTTTGATTGTAAAAGCAATAACTCAGAATGAAGCTGAGTTCTATTAAACAAAGCGAATGCAGACATATTTAGGAGAGTATTAACAAAAAAATATTCTTAAAACTATTAAAAGTTACACATTCTTATTCTCAGGTCCTTCATGTGAATCTAAGCTATGTGAATGCATACATTTGAGCTCTATTCCATTCAGATTATTATCCTTATTCATTACCTCCCTCTAATATACCTGATGAGAATAAAATCTGCAAAGAAGGTAAGGAAGTACAAAACTAGTAGGCTTTCTACTGTAAGATCTTAAAATACAAGTCAAGGAAGGCTTGTGGGGAGAGGCAATATTTTCTGTTGACAAACTGATAGAAAAAGTACACAAGGAGAGAGAAAATAGGATTTCAGGTAGATGAGTCCCACCAGCAACAGGTCCACAAGTTAAAATGGGAAAGTTTGAGCACAGATTTATCCTTCTTGCTTCTGATGAACATTGTGCATTTGTATGGTTTACAGGATGCCGTCAGAACAAGGGGTACTCGCTTCCTTTTTGTATCTTCTATACAAACCAGGAGTCATGCAAGAAGCATAAGCCTACCTAAGGAACTGTTTGAAGAAAGAAACATAATACAGAGAAGGAAAGGATATTAAAAAGAAAAAAAGAGGAATAGAAAGCCCCAGCATCCTAGTAGTCTTATAGCAAGCAAATATAGAACCAGAAATCTATATTGACCAGGCTTGGAAAGCATGTGCCAAACACTGTAAAGGAAAAAAAAACATTGACCAGATACTTTCTTTAACTCAATTGTTTATCTGTTACATCAAATAGTAGAATGAGTTATGAAGGACAAACACTCTAAAATAAAGACCTTCACAGCACTGAGCAGCTATAAAAACAGAGCACAAAAAGAACAGAAAGACAATGCTTTTGTTACGCTCAGGCTGTGAAATTCACCATGATCTACAGCTCTGTGGTCACCACCAGGTCATAACTATTTGGACCCTTGAAACACAAGTACGGTCAACTTCCTTAGCACAACTATTTCTACTGAAGTTAATACTCAGGAGAGTAAAGATAAGCAATTTATAACTGCCTACAGGATCAAGGAACACAGCCGGATCCTGGCTGCAGCTCATTTTTTACAGTAATTACATTGTTAATTAATGGCAACAGTAATTTCATGAAGACATTAATGAATTAGTTCTGCCATCAAGAAAAATTGTAGAGTTCAGAGCAATAATTTTATCCAAGTTTCCTAGAACTCCTATTTTCTTCTGTGTAGGGATTCTTAGCTCAGCTTGTAAAGGGAAATGGGTTCAAACAAGAAGTTTGAATCACCAGAAGTCTCAATTTTCTTCCCCATCACTTCTGTCATATAACCCTTCAGAAGACCTATGGCAGAGTCAGAAGAGAAGCAGCTATGGAGCTAGCCTGGATAATGCTAAATTGAGGATCTCTACATTGAGCTCCATGGGCGTAACATAGACAAACCCAATAACATTCAGATTATTTTGCTTAGTCACATCATTTGTGATGCTTTGCACCTCAGGTAACACACAGAAGTCTCTCTGCCATAGCAAATATAAGTATTCCAGTTGATAGGAAGATGATAGCATGTCAGGGCGTAATGACTGGCTCTCCTACCATGCATAATTGTTAGGAAAACAGTATAAATCCAGTCAAAAGAGCACTGTTTGTGAATATTTGTTCCCTGATAGCTAATTTAGATTAGCCCCAGCTGTCTTCCAAGTCTTTACTCTATGCCCACTGAAGCCAACGGAAAGAGTCCCATTAAATAATTCACATACTTTATAGAATTTGACCGGTTCTTCTTAAATATCAGGGAAAAATTCCCACAGAAAACATTGATGCAGGTTCAGCAAAAAGATCAAATCGAATAGTTTAATAATTCTTACTTCTTTTCTGAGAGTGCCAGCATGTCTGTCTTTTTTAATTCAAGCGTTTCTTCCAGTTGCTTGCTTTTTTCTTTCAGTTTTGCTATGAGAATTTCCTCATTACATATAGTCTATTAAAAAAATATAACAGACTATGTCAAAACATATGAAGTTTCCAAAACAGCAGATAATGAATCCCCTTATTGCCACTGGTCTTTTTTTTTTTTTTTTTTTAAGATTTCATAACATCTGCATGAGACTGCTATTTTCTAGCCACTCTGAGATTTCACAGTCAAAATTACTACAGCCTGCAAAGAAAGAATACTGAGAAAACAGTAGTATTTATTGTATTTAATCACCAAAAGAGTTAAAAAAATAAAATCAATGCAGGTTGATAATGAAAACAAACTTTAAAAAAACAACCTATGAAATCTGTTAACTCAGGCACAATTCTGGAATTTTTACTAACACGACACTCATTGAGACAGAAAGGACTTTTACTGGGAAGGCAGCAGTGCTAACAGCAGCTGGCAAGACTAGGGCAGAAAATAATGTTTTACATCTCAATTTCTCTCAACTCATTACACAAGTATTAGTTTTGCACTATGGTTGCTTTCAGTAGGGCTGATGTTAAACTGAATGCACATAGTTTGAGTTAATTCTGCAAGAAATCATAAAAGACACTGGTGAAGACACTGATCTTTCCTTACTTTGGTAAGTTATCCCTACAAAAAAGTAGTTGTAGCAGGCAGGGTTGAACCTGAAGCCAATATTAAATAGACGGCAGACAGAGAAAGCCTTGCTGTCTTTTAGCCCTATTAGCTTTGACATTCCAGATCCTGAGCCTCCTTAAAATTGTCATGTCCACCAGAGTGGAGTGATTTACACTGCTGAGTGCATTCCCAGGCAGTTCAGCGTAACTTAGTCTCCTGGCTTATTTTAGTTTCTACAAACACTTTCCCAGTACAAACTTTTTCATAATATTTGAACAGAGTCTTCTTTCCTAAATTTCTTCCTATTTTTTCCCCTTATATCATAGTTCACATCCACTAAATACCTGTTGATTGTCATTTCTCTTTTTCAGCTAGTCCTTCAACTAGCTCCACCAGAGGCATGCGCAGGATTGGGGTCTAAGTCATCCTTTCACTGACTTTTTTTTTTTTTTTTAGTGTTCCCTATAGGAATGTCCTGATAAACAGATTGACCAGCAGCAATTACCCAACTATTTCATTAAGCTAGTATAAACAGTCTATGTGAACCTTCTATTTTTGAAAGTGACTTTATAACCAAGTAATTAACAGTTAATAATGTCAGTCATTTAGACACCATGTAAGTTTATTTTTTCTTCTTTAAAGGTAGGGACTGCATTTCTCTATAAATTCCCCTCACTTTGACCAGTTATGAAATGGCATTTTGATCTTTGCATTAATGAACTAAACCAATTTTGTATATAACTTACCGCTGAATTCAGATTTATCAAATGCTGTAGGTTCAAATGCTTTCTATTCAAGTTTTCAAATTCCTGCTTTTTCTCACAAGTTTTTGCCTCCTGTGTATCAAGGATTTTTTTCATTTCTCTCTTCTACATTAAAAAATGATACAATTAATTAATCCTGAACAATGTACTGTGAATTATTTAAAAATTTATATTAAAACATCTGAAGCATTCCAAAATTAAATGACCACAAAATTTAGACTGGAAGAAAATAATTTTCTGCAAAAGGCACAGCTATGACCAAATTACAGAAGTCTATAAGAAAAAGAAGCAATAATTGATTAATATAACATGCAAATTAGGACCTGATCTGTCAAAATTTCATGTGACTTATTCTAGAGTAGGAACCTAATTATACCATATTTTCTACTAGGAAGTTTTCTTTTAATCCGATCATCTGGTTTTTATGTTATCATTCAGAAAGGATATAAAATATACACAACTGAAAGTAGGGCAGAATATAAAAAACAGTAAAACCTTATCTCAGAACTTGCTGGAAAATATAGGTACCTTTATTTTAAGCAGTTTGCCTGGAGGGGTTGAATTCCCAGTATATGATTATTTGTCCCATAGTCAGTAAGAAGCACCAATACAATCATGCCATTCTGAGATGCGCTGCTAGAAAACAAATTTCATATACTGTGTAATTTTGTGGTGTGCATGTTTGTGTGTGTATGTACGTACACCCCACTCACATAAGCGCACGTATACAGAAGTCAAAACACCATGTGCGCACCCAACGGCAAGAGAGTCGCTTTTCTGTTTGGCTGCTGTGGAGACATATGTTAGCTCCATATGCAAAAACAAAATACAACATCTGGAATAATTTCTAAGGTCATTTTGGTTTTGGCACTATATAACTATCAGTAAAACTGTGAACTACATTTCAAAACCCTTACCTTTATATCACATTCTTCTTTCTCTTTCTCAAGTTTACTCATTTTTTCAGCTATTTTTTCTTTCAATTCTGCTAATGCTGCTTTTGCCTTGATTATTTCTCTTTCTGTATCTCTTGTTTTATCACAAGTCTCAGTTAAGAGAATATTTGTGTTAACTTTCATTGCCATCCTTTCATTCAGCAAGTCTACTCTTTCTTTATACTGTGTCCGCAAGTATTCTTGTTCCTCACTGGAAAAAAATAAATAATAGATGAAAATTATATTTCCTACCATTCATTCAGATCAAAGACTTGGTTCAGATGTTCGTTGAAATGAATACTTGCCTATCCATATGTTGGCAACTCAGTCTACTATAGCATTATAAATACTATAAAGTATGACATGCACCGGTACCTCTGATGAAGACCATCTACGACCTTGCATTCCAATGAAATGGCTTTCAGTTATTTGTATTATAACTTTTCCAAAGTTTTGCTTTTTCTGATGTGATTATTTTCCACAAGTTTCATTAAAAATGGAAGGGCTGCTTGCAAGCACTAAAAGAATGAAGAAAGCAGGCTTCCCCTACGAAAATGCATTGTGATTTATTTTTGAACAGCTCTAGCAGCGTGGCAGGAGGTGACAGTAACAGGAAATCTGGCAGTGAGAAAACAACTATCTTCCAAGTCTCTGTATCCTCTTGGGGTAACTCTTGAAGAGGAAGATAGATCTCTAGCACAGTTACTGATTCAGAGTTCCTTCCACAGTTGTTTTTTTAACTGAAAACTATGATTTTTGCTTGTAGTAGTTTCTTAACATTAATAGTTGAAAGAAAAAACTCTGCCTGGCAGTGTGAGAAGCAAAGCTGCAGAGAGTTTTCCCTAAGCTAGCTTATCAGAGGGCAGGCTGCAGCAGGCAGGCTCTGCTGTTCAAGAAACAAGAGCTTAAAAATGAGGCTTGCCGCTGCAGCAAAGAGTTGCCTAGGAACATTTGTGGCTAGCTGCAGGGGTGAGGGACAAGCACGACTCACTATGTTTCGATAACATTTCAGTTCTCCTTTATCATCTCGCCAGTATGGTTTTCCTTGTTCAAATGAATACACACCACAGTGCAGCATTCTGGCTTTCACAAAGGGTTTGCTTCTCACCCAGTAATTCGATTTCATCAGCAATGCTTTTCAATGCAGACTGCAGGTGATTTATCTTCACAGCACTAGATTCACGTGCAGCAGTAACAAGAGCTAAAAAATAAATACAAAACATGTAGAAGCCTCTTAGCTATAGAAAGGTATAAATGAGGTAATGCATTAAGGGATCGATCCATAATCTTTAATTCACTACTATTACTGTCACCTGGTAAGGAACAGCTGTGATTCTAAGACACTAACATCCCTGAAATCACATACTTTTTTCAGTAGTTTAGTCATATCACATTTTCACTGACTCATCTGCATTTATCAACGAGAAGAAGCCCGCTGAGTTCTCACAGAACAATTGCTCTTTTTCATACTATATACCTAGGAAATTCCCTAGACATATAGTGAACTCACAAAAAATTACTCCCCCCCCGCCCCCCCCCAAAAAAAAATTCTTCTCAACCAGCTCTGGCAGCCAGGGACAAGGAGCAGGATCACCTGGCTTGAAATTCAATAGCATTTCTCCCAGATGAGCCACTGCTGTGGGGAAGTGAAGAGCCTGCATGAAGAGGCACTGTGGATAAAGCTCCTCTGTGCAGGGGCGTTGTACTACAGCATCTTTTCAGCTTCTGAGATAACAGGCACATTAGTGTACATCCACCCACGCAAAAACACTTAGGCAGTGCAGAACGGGAGCAGCTAGTATAAACAACCGACTAACTGCATAGCAACCACGTGCTATAGGCAGAGAGAAGGTGAGGGAGGACACTTGCTATAAGTAATCAACAAACATAGAATGCAGCTGAAAAAGAAAGGAAAAAGAAAAAATAGAAAAGAAAAGCTCTGGTTGCTGTTTTATGATGAACCTGAAGCTAATCTAACTTTGTAGTACTCCACAAGCAGCAGTCCTGCTCTCCCTGGCCACCCTGCCATGTTTCCATCCCTCCTCCTGTGCTACCACTAACAATCATGCAGCCTCATGGTTAGCCAGATAAAGAACTGCAACTCCCTTGCTTCTCCCAAAAAGATGAAATCCTAACTTTCATCTAGATCAACTCCCTGGCCGCTTTGCTCTGTGACTACAGTGCAAATAGAAGGGTGATAGCAGAATATGCCTTGATCATCTTAAAAGTGAAGCCATACCTGAGAAAAAAAGAGAGAGAGCGCTCAAACTTTATTTTCATCTACATTTATATTAATACTAATGCTTTAGCCTCCCTTCATAGCCAGTGGAGAGAAAGAAGTACTTCAAATTCATGATTCTTCTGACTTGCTTTAAATATCTTCCTAGGGTGAGATGAACCATGTCTCAAAGCGCGTCTTTCTCTTCACTGTCTAAAACAGCCAGTTGATAAGCATTTGGTCAGATAAACCCCACCCAAAAGCAATGTCACATCAGATAAGCATTATTATCCCTACTTCACAAAGGGAGAACTTGCAGCAGGGAGCACTCAAGTGCTGCATCTCAAGTATCAGAGAAAGGCTGTGGCAGGCTGGGATCAGAACTGAATGCTGCAGTTCTCCAGTCATTCCTCTAGTGCTTGTGCACGGTCTTCAGAGAAGATCTCTCTCATTTACACTCTTATGTGAGAGAATAATCCCTCACAGCATCATACATCAGCCAATACCTATCTTCTTTTTTAACAAGTTATTATTGAAAGTGATTTACCTTTAGCAGTAAGACTTATTTTATAGACTACTTCAAATTTTTTAAATGCATAGAAAATTAATTTTTTTTTTTTCCCCTCAGAGCTGGTTAAGTCGGTACTACCTGTCATTTCTGCAATAATCTCTCTGGGAAAATTCTGGATTCTGAAGCGAAGATTGCTGTTTTTTATAGTCTCCTCTTCTAGGCATTCAAGAGTATGCCTTCGAATTTCTTCCTGACAATCAAAAAAATCCACAAATGAGAACAAAGTAATACAAGAGATGAAAAAACACCTCTTCCTTACAAAACCATTCTTTCTTTTTTTTTTTTTTACTCAGTTGATGCTGGATATTTTCCATGCCTAGAGACATCATTCCCCTTGCTCATACTTGCTCTCTTTCCTCCTTTCTTTCACTCTTCAAAATAAGTAACTTGTTTTAAAGGTAGCTGAATCTGGACAGTTCTCCAGGAACTGTTGGCTTCTGACTGTTAACAATCTTCAGGAAGCAGTGCATCTCTGCTACAAAAGCTGTGCAGGCAGGGAAGGTCTTAGCTGTCAGCTTCTTCCATTATGCATGAAAGGTGCTATTTAAGCAACAGAAAAGCCTCATTTGCCTGTGCCCTGAAGCTGTACTGAAGAAGGGGGATTCTAGCTGGCCTTGAGTCATCTTCTGGTTCATGGTTAATGCAATGAGATGGATAGAGTGACGGTAGAGCAAGAGAAACCAGACTGAACTGATTGTGGGAGAAGCCCTCAAACAACTGCATCCCCAAATTTGTATGACTGAGAATTGTAGGTGGGTTGACGAAGCCCTGAATGCCTGGAAAAGAAATCAGTTCTTAAATGGACGTTGACTTTGGCATCACAACTGATGCATAAAACCACTCCTATCTTTCTCCTTCAGTTTTCCTAGCAGTTACAATCACCAGCTGAGACACTGTGGGAAGAAAAGATACTGTTGAATTTTACTGTCTACAGAGCAAATTCTATATGCACTCATGTAAATTACTCTCATTTCCTTGGGAGGATGAAATATTTAGAGGTGTGAAATAAATGTGTAAAAGGTTTTAATTTCATATGAGTTACATCCTGAATTAGCTGAAGCAGTGAAAAAGAAAACAACTTTATGATTTCAGCACATTACATAAAACACTCATCTGATAGACTTATGCAGAGCTGGTCTGAAATAGATGATTCAGAGGCCTACTGAAGGAGAAAGTTTTACAAGATTTACACCTACCCAGACAAATACATTATGGAGATACTTTTAAAATACCTTCTGTTTGAAGCCATTCTGGCTTTAATGGTTTCAGAGGTCTTACAGCAAAAGTTAGCTACCTATGAACAGCCATCCACAGCTCATAATTGCTGTAAGGTTTCTTATTATCACACACAATGCAATTGTTTCAAGGAAAGACAAATTGTTAAAAAAATCCCTTGCACCTAGTCAGAGGTCAAACCACTTGACTGCTGAACTCCGTACCATCTGCTGAACGCACTAACGTTAGTGGGTGTATCCTCACAGCAGCCCAGAGAGGAAAGCATTCTCTTTCTCCCTACACAAGTAGGCTGTTGCCTTCAGGTGATTTTTGTGATGGTCCTACTAAGTCACTGCAGGTTCAGAGCTTACACTTCTTGCACAAAAGCAAACTATGAAGACACAATAGAGTTGGGAATAAAACTCCAACCCTGAGTCCCACTTTACTCTGCTGAGCATAAAACCCTTCCTCTTTTTACTTCAACAGAACTCTGAGCATGCTTCAAATTTCACTAGTCCCTATTATAAATGGCATCTCCTGTTCTCCCATTAAAAGACCAGCAGGTGGGCTATGGCTTGGATCAGCTGTGTGATCTATATTACTCAGGTTGGTTTGTTCTATTATAGCCAAACTTCTGCAGACAGCAAAGTGCATACAAGCATCCATCCACTTCACTCCAAACTGCCTCTCTCTCGGTATATTACAACTCACATAAGAGAACACTTCAAATATTACAACCATAAAAGACTGATTTTTGTGGTTACCAACTAACTCTTTTGCATATACTTAAAGCTAAATATTAGATTTTTCTTACCAATTTCTTAATAGCAGCAATAGTATCTTCAAGACTCTGCACAATTTCCCCACTGAATACAGAGTTTTCATTTTTCAAGTGTTTTTCTAAATGAAAAATACAGTAAAATTAAAATTTATGGGTTTTAAGCTTCAAATATTGTTCTATTGTTCTGCAATAATGATTCTGAAAGAGAAGGATTTATTTTTAAACTATTTGCTAAATCTGTTTTGCCTTGTTCTAAAGTAGGTCAGCATCTTTCACACTCCTCCTGGTGCACAGAAAAGGCAGATGCAAAAGTGGCATATGAAGTCCACAGGTCCTGGTAAAATTTTCAGTCACAAAATGCTTCCAACATCAATTCTGCAGAATTAATCATTTAAAAAGAGTCATTCAGAGACATTTACAGAGGTTATTAAACTGAAGTAGAAGCTGTGGATAAAAATAATTTCCCTTTAAGCAGGGTGTAGCTAATCTTCAGAATTTTTCCAAGCAGTCATGGCTTCATTATGTCTCTTTCCAAGCAAAAATACTAATCCGGATTCATCAAAGCCTGAAGTGAGATTTACATTACTCCAGAAGCTACTTTTTTATTGTTAAATTTAATTTAGCTTGAGCTGGAATAAGAATTGTAAGGATTTGAATTCATCCAAAAGATTATTGTACCTGTTACAGTGGCATGAAATTTTTTCTTATACCCTGATTTTGTAACAGAGACTAAATCCTCATAGGGAGGAAAAAGGAAAAAAAAAATTCTTAATCCCGCCATAAGTGAATTTGTAGTGAAGACAAGGCAATGAGCCAGCAGAGTGCTCTGTTTTTAATTTGACCTACTAACTTGTTTGAAAACTGGCAGCTGTCTCATTCCACTAGGATCTTTATCCAGAGTTGGTGGGAACAAAGGCCAGGAGCTGCCGCTGCCTCTGCCCCACCTGCCCATCTCCAGGCCTGATGATGAGCACCTACCAGTACAGCATTTTCTGTGAACTCTCAGCAGGACAGTTGTCAGAAAACAAACCCATATATGCGGCAACTAGCAGAGAGGGTGGCATGATTTGCAGAATTGGTCCCAGCTTCACCAATTAGTAGTAATTCCAGACAATTCTTTTAAGAGCAGCAGTCTGACACCACAGACTTTTACACCTTAAGATCAACAAAACTATGAGCTATTTTCCTCAGAAACATAATGAATTTATGTCACATTGTACATAGATGAAAATTCATGTTAAAATCTAATTTAAGTTCTGCTGGTGAAGCATTTTTTTCCAACTCTTAGGTCTTTTCTTGTCCAGACCCCGTCTTGATTTCTTTTTATCTATTTGATTTTTCTCTCCTCTTTTGTGCTTGCTCTCTAATAATCTCTATTTCCTAGATAAAACATCTCCTTCAGAAAAAAGTTGCAATATAGTTTCCAGATATTTTCAGTTTCCTCCTATGCCTGTTATTAAATGAAAATTAATGCCACTAAATGCCCTTAGTGAAGTATAGGTTTCCCAAATACAGGTTTTTATTTTTTTTAAAAAAAGATCCCCTTGAAAACTCTTGCCATTTTTTCCTACATGCTGCTCTGAAATTCAGCCTTTTGTGCCACTCTCTTCACTGCCAAAACTCTTCTCCCAATCAAACCTTTAAGTCTTTTAAAAGTGGCATAAAAATCAAGGTAACGTATGTGAAAAATGTCAGCTATCCTTCTTCTGTCCCTTCTGGCCACTCTCAGTGCCACAGGCACAAACTTCTGGCTCCAGAACAGCATCAGTTCATCCTCCCTGCACAGCAGACCATTACTTGCACACCACATTCTCAAAAACTATAAAGTCACTGCTTTGTCCCACCTGAAATCCCTCCTCAACCCCCCTGGTTCCTTTGGGCATGGGATGAAGTGCAGCCTGACAGTGGCTGGGAGGGAGAGTACTGAGACCAGAGACATTTACTGCTGAAGTGTTTCCACATAATTTTAGATCTCATGCTACAGTTTACGTCACCCCGAGCCATTTGTCTCATCTGTGTATGCCTTTTTCTGACTTCTAAGTTACAAGCTTTTTGAAAGACATTGTAATTGTACAGCCTTTGAAACTAAGCGGTTGAGATAATGCCCTGCAACCAATCTCAAAGATAAGAGGGAAGCTCAGGCCATAGTTCCATACAGTCCTTAGTCTGACAGCTGAGGCCTCCAGAAGTGAATATTTCGTGATATATGTCTATATCCACAAGCTGTGCCCAATCCTCGGTATTTATAAGAAACCAGTTTTGTTAGACAGGAATAACTTTCCATTACAGTTAAACAGATTTGACAGCAATGGAAATTTTTGAATGTTCTGAAATTGGAAAATTTGAAATGATAACCAGAGGCAGTGTCCCCCAGCGTGGAATCCATCCCTTGAGACTGCTCAGCCTTAGTGCATGTCTGCCCCTGCCTCTCAAAGAGGAGTATTTTAGAGCCAGATAAAACTTGTTTGAAATGTATCTCCTGGTACTCAGTTTATGTGGTGCTTTTTCTTGGCTAACTTTATTACTTGTAGCTCAATTTCCTTGCTCACACTTGAAGCAATACTCCTCTTGCATGATGATTAATCTTTCCTTCTCAAGCAAATTTATTCTGTTTCTAGTCATTGCTTCATCTCCTTCACAAAGGCCTTCGTACCAAGTTGCTTATTGCTGAATTGGTCCAGTTTCACATCTCCGTAATCTATCCAGCTACCTTGAAAGCAAGCTGTATTTCTTACAAGAGACACTGTGATAAATGTGATTCTATAGGTCACATTTATCTTCCAAGAAGGCTCAACAGCTCCATAAGCAGGTTCTTGCCTGATATTGCCCAGGAAAACAATTAACATTCAAGACAATTCAAGGGCTTCTAACCTCTCAAGACCTAAAAGGAATAAATTTGTGCTTTGAGCATCTTTAAAATTTCTTTCCGCTTTCAGATACTATGCCACATGCTTGCTTCAGAGGCTGAAGGGACCACAAGCATCTGTCTCGCACCACCTGCCACAGCGCCTGAACCACTGTGCAAAGTGCATTTGCTTTCTTAATGTGCCACCAGACTGGTAGGTGAAGGGGGATTTTTCTCAACGCAATGTCAGCACTGGTGATAGCGAGGAGGTTTGTGTTGCAGGTACAGACTGCAGTGGTCCATGAAAACTCTTTTTTTAAGCAGCGTTTCCAGAAATAAGATGTAGTACAAAGGCTTGAAGAGGAAAAACCCTAGACATCTTCAATTATGTGCTTGCCAAAAAGTCTTGGGCGTCCCACAGAGGAACCAGATGGCCCCATATGTGACAGTAAAACCAAAAAGACAAGGAGGAAATGCATAAATAACCATGGCAGCCATCTCATTTTGAAACACATGGCCTACACATGGCCCACACATGGCTCTTCCCCACCAAACACTTGTAATGACTCTTCCCTTCGGATTCTATGTCTTCTACATTAATGCCAGTAAACCAGGCTGCAGGTAAACAGGAAAAGACAGTCCATGACCACTGCAGCCATGGGGATGTTAGCCATATTTTCTTAGGCAGATATTTAAACCAGCAAAAAATGGTAAAGCAAAATAATACCCTATTAAGCTCTCACTCCACACATCCCCACAGTAGATATGTACAATACAAGGTTTGCGTCTTTCCTTGCTTCTGCCTGCCCAAGGCTGGAGGGACGTTGTCCCTAGCGAGAGCAGCCCTCCCTCCCAGTGCTGGGGCAGGAGGCACCTCAGCAGCCCCCCAGCCCTGCGCAAACCCACCCAGGCTCTGCAGGCGGCTGAGGGCAGCCGGCGCCACTGCAGAGGACGAGAGTGCTGTGGTGGACGGACCAGGCCTCAACATGGTGGCTGGGCCAGGCCTCACTGTTACCAGGCAACCAGGCTCTGAGGGCCCAGGGCCACACCCTGTCCCCTCACCTCAGGGCAGAGGGACAGACCTGCCAGGGGCCCAGGCTGGGTCTGTCCCCCGATAGACCTCCCAGGGTTACAAGAGATGTAGCCCCCACCCCATGCCAGCCCCCCAGAGGTGCTGATGAGGAGGTCATGATGTGGACAGGCATCCAAGTGAAGATTTGGGCAGGAGAAGACCTCAGTGCCTTCCCCACATCACATCCATGGGGACAACAGCTGGGTTGTCGTTCCCTGTAGAAGTCATTTTTGGGGAGCAAATGATTTATCAGGAGTTTTCTTCATTGTTGCAACCTCTGTGCTTCTGGTTCGAGGCTTTCCTCTGTCACAGGCAATGAATCATGTCAGATTAGATCAAAGTATTACAATTAACCTAGAAGAGTCTTGGTCAACATGTGAAATGGTCTTCTCACAAAACACAGTGCATAGAGGACTTTTAGGTCCTAGCAGTTAAACTTGATAATTTCTGGCCTCAGAGACTACGCTGGCATCTCAACCTTTCAAAACATGCAAGATTTAATAATATTATTAGTAAAGCTTAGATTCTTTATTTGCTTTTCCAAGCTTTAAGGCTGCAGCTGAGTTGCATTTTGAAGCTTTCCCATGTATCTTTTTAAATGCAGTCATCTGTGTTTTACAGTTATCATTACAAAAACAGGGTCTCTAAGAACAAATATCCTCTATTCAAAATTGAAGATAAAATAGTGATTGTATGAGGGAATATCAGGTGGCACTGCTGATTATTTCCGTGTGAACTAAGCTCACACAGACAAATAATCAGCAGGATAATATCACCTCTTTTTAATGATCTAAAAAAGTCTAATAAAAAGTGCTGCAACTTTCCTCTGGAGATAACCAGCTTGTTAGGAGAATGGCCCTTTTCTTTCCTACATGTTTATGGCTGCTGCCACCTCGCCAAAGCTATTATTGGAGACCTTCTTCGTTCACAATCAGTATTGATTTATGTCTCAGCAAGGGACAATCAGCAAAGGTGGTGCCATCCTTCACCTCCAGCACTCCAAGAAATTGCTTTGGAAATTGAACTATGCCAAGAACAGCCATGTGTTAAATGATCTGCTGTTAATCCTGTATGTTGGGTGCACACACAGGACCTGATCCCAAGCGAGATGAGCATCCTCCTGTCCTCCTGATGTGTGCAGGAGATGGGGGTGATCAGTGTCCGCTGCCTTGTACACTGTGGTAATGCTTTTCTGCAGTTTGAGTATGCAAAGTATCTCCAGTTAACCCCCCAAAGTAGATGGATCCATGTCTTCATTTCACTGCAGACAGAATACCATTATGTGGGTGAACATACTAATCCCTGGACTAGAATAAGATCTATCCTATGTTGCTTAAAAAAAAGTCATGTGTTCATTGGATGACAGTCAATTTGTTAACTACAACATAAAACTTTGTTAGGAAGAAGAGAAGGGCTCTCTTTTTCTGAAAATCTTTTTAAGTCGTAAGCAGGAGTCAAGCCTCAACGAACTCAGTGGTTGCAGAGCACAAGCAGTTTTGTACCTGACTAAAATTCAGGCACATTTGGGCCAAGTAAACAAATTGATTTCTGTATCTGAGGGCAAGTTCTCAATTCTCTTGGTGAATTTAGCCCCTCAAGTGGAAATTATACTTGAGGAAAAAATATGGGTTGTTTCCTTTTCAAGCAATTAAGCATTTCTAGGTAGAAAATTTACCCATTGTTTCGGTGGTTTGGTTTTTTGTTTGTTTTTGGTTTTTTTTAAGTCTCACTTTTTTTTTTTTTAAGTCTCACTGTTGTGGCAGTACAGATAGCTTTGTAAAAATTATAAGTGGAATAACAGATTTTAATGGAAAAATAAAAGTAATTTTCCAGTTTTCTTATGAAATATAACCATTTTTTTCTGCTAAAACAGCCTCAAAACCAGGACTTCTGATGTGAAATAGTAACTTCTTTTCCATCTGTAATGGTTTAGCCCCAGCTACTAAGCACCACACAGCCGCTTGCTCGCTCTGCCCCAGAGGAAAAAGAAAATTGGAAGAAAAAGGTAAAACTCATGATTTGGGATAAGGACAGTTTACTAGGACAGCAAAGGAAGAGGAAACTAACAATACTTATAAAAGATTATACAAAGTGGGTGATACACAATACAATTTGCTCACTGCCCAGAACCCAATGCCCGGCCTGTCTCCTCCTCCCCAGCCAGGTCTCCCCTTATATACTGAGCATGATGTCATGGTATGGAATATCCCTCTGGCTAGTTTGGGTCCGCTGTCCTGGCTGTGTCCCCTCCCAGCTTCTTGTGAAAATTAACTCTATCCCAACCAAAAACCAGGATACCAGCAGATATTTCAAGACAGGGCTTCACTAGAAATTAAAACACTTTTGCAGAGTTGCAAAGGACATTTAAGCTAAGATATACTTTGATTTCTAGCTCTATACTTCTAGAAATTTATTGCTGCTCTGTATCAGAAATAAATCTAGCTACTGCATTGATCGCCACATCGGCAAAGTCAAAGCCCTGCCTGGCCTTATGGTGAGAGTAGCTGGGCAATGCAGCACCAGCTTACAAGAGCTACCAGGATATTAGGTCTGAACAAGCAGGGGTAATTTTATCCAAGAGGAGCTTCTCCCTCCTTCCTTATACTACAACTCACAGTCAGAACATGGATAAAGCAAATACGTGTTCAACGTGAATGAAAATTTATATCTCTCATAAATCATCTGCTTCCTGACAAGTTTGTTACAGTAAAAACTAAGAAGGGAATTCCAGTAGATTCCCCCCCGCCCCATTTACTTATGCTAGAAAAAAACTTTTTGGTTTTTTGCACTCATTTCTCTTAACCTGTCCATCACAACCTGAATCTAATCTGGTTACCCCTTTCTCTGAAAACAAAATTATGTCACAGCAATCTGGATTCATAGAGGGAGACATGGACTAGTCTGTCTTTATAGCATCTTCCTAACTCCCAGGAAACCAGAGGAGGCATGAAACCCTGTCTGCATTTGCAAGAATTGACAAGCCTTTAAAATTTTTTTACCAGTCTAACGATGGCATCACTGGTGCCTGGATGTCTCTGCTGAGCCTCAAATGCCTTTCTTGGGGTCACAAAGATTAGTAGTTAACAATAAATTATGAAGGAAATCTTTTCTTTCTAAGGAGAATGGGCCAAATTTTGAGTTCATATGATCTGGAGAGAGCTGCTCTGACTTCAGTTGATCTACTGGTCTATATCACATAAGCATCTGTCATATTATCTTCCTGCTAAATAAACAAACACAGAGACTCTCTAATAGTTAATGCACTAGTGCAATATTTGCTGGGGGAAAAAAAAAGTGTGTGATTTCTTGCAATCGTCTCTTGTAAACTCACTTTCAGCACAAGAAGAGCCGCATGGGGAATTGCCATCTGCTTATTTTATCAAAAAGGCAATTGGCATTGTACATAATCTATTTCCTACCTTGAATGATTCTTAGATTCACAGTGCTCATTTCTAACTAGTAATTGGGAGCTAGTGTTAATTTCACTGAACAATAATAAATTTTAATTTCCAAATCAAAACCACAGAATGTAAATTTTTTTCCTGTGTCATCATTAAGCAGCTTAATTAAGCACCAGCTTAAACAGCTTTTAGCCTTCCTGGTGTTTACCCCTAATATATGTGGAAAGAGCAACTACATTCCCTCTTTCCAGCCTTCGTTTTGCTAGAGTAACGAAGCCAAACTCTTCTGTATTCCATTCCTGCAATGGCCCCTACATTCCCTTGGACATCCCTAATAGCACTTCTCTGCCCCACTGAGCACTTTCATACTGTGTTCGACCAGGGTTACTCATCAATATTCTTTCCTGACCAGCCACCTTCTAGCCAACAAAAGAATTTTCTGTTATCAATCCAGGACATAACTTTGCATTAGTGATACAAAATTTCATCTGATTTTTATTGCTCATGGGCTTCAAGACTATCCAGTTCCTTCCATATGGCATCCCAATGGTCT